GCAGAATCTTATGAGCTGCCGGAACGGCAGGTCATAACAAAGAATCCTCTTTGAAATAAATTCTTTCGGCGTTTGTTTGATGTTACTTTATTCACAACGAACAGGTCTATCGACCGACTATAATTTGGGGGTGTTGGTGGATGTTATAGGGTGTTAGCTTATTTGTTATCTGTTTTTTCGATTAAAAAAGTCGTTCTTGTCCTTTATACCTTATTCTATCTTATAAAAATATTCCAACCATCATGCTAGACTCCATCTCTTGCATCTGAAAAGAAAGTCAAAGAACGAGAACGTTTTTCTACTCATTTAATTTCAGCCCAGATATTAACAAAACTTATTTTACAAAACTAGATTCTTAGATGACTATATAATATGATTTCTCAAATATGGTTTTTCATAGAGTTAGTTACAAATCAGTTTTGGAAATAATGGATAACGTCAAACTGTGTTATCTAGATTAGATGATATCCTTTCATACTCAAGGTGTTCATAAAATAATTTCGGAAGATGTTCATTTTCACCAGGATATTTTTTTATACAATTAATACAACCATAATGAGATGTTTTTTGAAGCTGACGTCTAGTGTTAAGACAAACAATTGTTTTATTTTTAAACGATAATTGTTTCCGACATTGTTGAATTTTATTCCATTTTCTATGTTTTGGTGGAAAATCTGACAATATTTTGTAATTGAATGTTTTTTTTGCTTTTTTATTCTGTTTTTTATAATATTTTTCTGATATTTCTGCAGTTTCATAGATTGAATATAAGGTTAAGTAAATATAAATTAGATAAGCTAAACAGAAAAAACAAATGAATATAAAACCAATGAATAATAACCAAACATGAACGGTATCTTAATCGTTCGATGGAAGCGTGTTACGAAGACATTCCAAATAGACGTGAACTCTGCTGTCCCATGTCAGTAGCGCCACTGTTGAATTTTGAATCATCAAAACGAGAAAAATAAGCTAAAATAGAATTCATTAAGAAAATTAATAAATTGTTTTCTAAATAATACTTTAAAAACATCATTGAAAAGTGTATCTGGCGTTATGCTAAGATCAAATCAAATTTATGGGAACTTAATACGTCTTTTGATGCAAATTCTTAGTTTAAATGATAGTGTAGGTAGATAAGCCTATCATGAAAAACTGGAAGTCGACTATAATGTGGCAATCGATTGATATAAAGAAGGGAGGCGAATAAGACCATTTTCCATTCCTCAATATTTTTGAAAAAGAATTACATATTCGGAGTCAGCGTCAAATTCTGCATCGAATGACGTATTTAAGTCACTCGAACATCGACTTTGATTTTTTCCGAAAAATTTCGCCTCTATCGAAAACTATTTTTTCGGAGCTAGCTTAACTTAGATAAAAAAAATATTTACTTAGTGTACGCTAGATTGAAACTAGCTGCAGCAAGAGGCCCCTTTGAAACTGCGAAAAACGTTTTTTCTCGAATTTCAATGAAAGGTACATCATTCGATGCAGAACTTCATGCTCCTTACGAATATCAGGTCGAAAGTTTAAAAAAGTTGAGCCGTGACCGGAAAAACTAAGTTTTACCGGAAGATGGCGTTGGCGATCTAACCTAATAAATGCGGTTTTAGTACCTCAAGATGATGTTTGATAACATTCAAATCAGCCAGATATACTCAAAAGCGTATCAGCTTTCCGAATATCATGTTTAAAAATATTCCAAATGTCGACTTTCATTGAAAAAAATTGCTTTAACCTCGAAAAATCCTGAAAACCACGTACTAGATTCCGTATTTTTTCCTTACGATCAAACGAAAAGCATTGCCAATAAAAAAATGAAACGAAATATACAGTTTCAGATGCTCTGTTGAATGAACCTGCTTTGAGTCGAAAAACAAATACACTTTTTCAAAAACCGAATCTTTGAGTATAAGGTTTCTAGAAAATCTTCAAAATTTTTTTAAACATGCAGTTCGATAGAGCGTCAAATTCTGAGTAAAATACTATATTGTTCAAATTTTTTTGATCGACTTTCCCAGAACGAAAGCATTTCAGATTTGGCTGAAAGAAAAGTCTAGCAGAAAAACAGCATTTTTGGAGTTGTACTTGATTTCCAAGTACACAAATGTCGCATAGTTTGAATAATATATCATATAGAAATTTCATATTCAAAGTAGAAATTCAGTTCTACTTCAAATAATGTCCTACTCTATGCAAATGTGTCAATAGTATTTTTACTACTTCATACAATTTTTTTCCTGAAACTCCTCGATTTTTGATCAAATCGGCTAAGAAGAAAATAAGAAGTATTTGTATGTTTCAAATGGTTTTCTTTCTGAAGTCCGAGAGTAAAGGAAGCATGATTTTATTCTAATTTATAATTTAAACTAACGTTCTGACCTCTACTTTAACACTTGTAAGAGAAATGGTTGCATTTCTGATATGTAATTTCACTAAGATATTTTTAAAGTTCAGTCACAGTTATTAATTTCAATATTGTTGGCTTTCTTACTTACCTTTGACACAATTTTATGTAGGTGTATCATTTATCACAGTATACCCATTGTGGGAAATTGTGTCAAAAACACGTAATTTTTTTGACAAAATCGTTTTCACACACAAGTTTACCATCATTTTCTTTTTTCAAAATACTTGCAAAACATTGCGAACTTTTACAAAAAAAAGTTCAAAGCGACCTGTAAACTTTTGTGAAAAAATTTTGTCGTTTTTATTGGTTTTATAAATACAATTTGTTTTACAACGTGTTTTCTTTTACAAATTGTCATTTATTCATTCTTATTTTCTTGTAAAACGTTGAACAATATTTCTTGAAAAAATATTTGTTGCAGTAACGGGCAGAAATCCAATTAGAAGTAAATTGAAAACATGGATTGATGACCACAGTTAACTAAACAATGAGACATTAGTTAGGCTTCATGTGAATAAGACATCTTCACAATTTTTTCTTCTTTCTTCGATTCATTGCGTAGGTGTGACGTTATCTTATGCGTTCACTTTCTCAGGTATCGATAAAATATATCATTCTAAACATGTATCTACCTGCATAACATGTTTTCTTGTCTATAGAGATGTTAGCCGATACAAAAGTTGACGATAGCGGTGCGAGATTTTCTCAAGAAATAGATCTTTCAGGTAGTTAAAAGAAAAACGTACTTTTTTCTGCAAGAATCTTTGATCGACAACTGTGTAGTTTGTTATCTCTGATCTTACCTCTAAACACACGAAAATGTAATTTTCTGCTACTCACATATTAAAATCTCATTTAACTATACGAAAGTGAGTAGAAAATGCAGATGATATCATATGGTGTCCTCTCAGTTCGTCCCAAATTGTCTTTGTAAGATCAAACAATATCCAAGCATGGGCAGGTGTGAGAATGAACAATTTGGGACGTAATTGAGAGTAAACCATATCACACACACCAATCTATTTTGAATACAGAGAAGGAGAGCATAAAAACATGTAGATATTTTATTTGCACAAAATTTTGAATATCATGGTGAAAAAGCGTTTATTAAAGAAAATTTACTTCGATGAGGTAAATTAAATTATTCAATAGTTACTGTAGTTTATTTAATAGAAACTCTAGCGTCAAAGTTTTTCTATCGGAAGTGAGCATCATTGTACAAATTGTTTATGATTTTTTTTTTCTCCAAAAAGGTTGATTTTTTGTTCAATCTAACAGATCGATATGCCAATAAACCAGGAAATGTGTGACAGAAGAAAAATAGAGATCAAACTAAATATTTGAATTTATTTTTGTCGTTTTGATCGATTAAAACAATTTCCGGTTAGAACATCAAATATTTAAACATCCGGAATTTGAAACAATATGAAAGTTATTTCAATTACATTTCGAACCGTTCAGTATTTTATGTGTCTTGTATATCTAAACATCGGACAGAAAATGAAGAAGAGAAAAATAGAAAAAGAATAAAGAAAAAGAAAAAAAAAAAGAATGAGAAACAGAGATAGTTACAAAATCATTAAAATCATTTTGGTATCAGTATTAGTGTGATTACGAACAGAATCACGTACAAAATAAATCTGTGGTAAAACTAAATAGAAAAAAAGGTATGTTAGCAAAAAATACTATTCTATTTCTTATAAATAAGAGTAATATCTCTCCTTACTTACTAACAGATTGCTCTTTACCATGTTACAGTAAACAATTTGATTAATCCCAGTCCAAAATTTATCTCTTTGAGCTTATAATCATACTCGTAGAAGTAGATAACTTGGCTATAGTGGAAAAAAAAGTAGAAAAATAAATGGACTCTGAATGATTGCAATTACTATTGCAAGATATTGCTATAATAGTTTTTTTATTGTTGTTATTCAGTAAAATTGTTCTATAAGAAAATTAGTTTATACAATGGAATTTTAGTAGTTCTCAGTTTACTTATTTCTGTACAGGTATGTTACCATTATGGGTAATTTTAATTTTCAGGATTACGAAATTGTTTCATGCACTAATACGATAATTAGTCTATATGATACCTTCAGCGTATCGTTTAATATTTCTCACATTCATGTTTAAAATTCTATGCATATAATATAAAAAATATTGAAATATACAAGTGTGTTTTAGAACTTAGAGATTTACCCTATTCGAGAAAATTATTGAAAGAATTTTATAGTGTGGAAAATCAGCTTTGTTCTTCATCTTGAAAAAAGTTTTAATAATATTGTTCTTGTTCTAATACATTATAGGCAATGAAGATTATTTGAGGCTCAGAAAAGATGAACTATCTGTAACACAGTAATGAATAGTCTTTTTCTTTTTAAAATAGCGTATGAGAATTTCTTTTTTTTCAGAAAACTTTTAGCAAGTTTTCTAATGTCTTAAATACACGAAAAAAATCTATTAACTATTTTTCTAAAATATATAGTAAAGTATCATTTCGTTTATCATTTTCAAAATGATAAATGTAAAATATTTTTTAATTTTATGCCTATTTTTGACTAAATTATAAAATTTATTTTAGAAAAGAATGCGTCCAACATTCGTTAATATTTGCCTATGTGTCATCTTCTTGTTACTTGGCTTAACACTATCAGCAAACGCCTATTCATTACATAACAGTAACGATGATGATTTTGCTTGGAATCAATTTGATACCATTGATCATGGTTTAAACGCTCGTGGTGTATCCCGATTTTGGAAACGTGTTCCACATCGAGCATTTTGGAAACGTGGTTTAAATTCATTTTATGGAAACACTATGGATAGACACGATCCAATGTTTGACAATGATAAACGTTAAAAAAGAGACAGAATTTGATTAATGAAAAATAGGATAGGAGACTAAAAAGAACAACAATAATCAGTTATATGATCCGTGCGCAAATAGATTAATATTCTCTCTATTTCTCTCTCTCTAAATGTAATATGTATTTCCGTATAAAAGAACATTTTTATTCTTTTTTTTTTGTGTGTGTGTACCATAGTCATCTGAAAAAAAGCATTGGAAAAAAGTTTCCTTAATAAGATTGAATTTAATTTGAAAAAAAGCAAAATAAATATAATACAATGGCGTTAAATAAAGTTAAAAACTTTTTTGTTCGATAGAAACTCCTATGAGAACATTTGTTCGCTTCATAAAATTTTGTATAATAGGAAAAGTATATCATTATCTACGAAACATAAAGAATAGTGTCTTCGTTCGAAAATACCTAGTTAAATAATTTATATATAATACTAGGTTCTAACTAAACAGATAAAATTAAATTAATGACGGAAACTAGATTGAATTTATTCTTAAACAATAAATGATCGGTGTCGTGCGTAATTTTGGATAAATACGTATGTATAGATCGATAAAATAAATAATCGATAAAACGAATGAAATATTTCAAGACTTCGAATATGAATCGAAGAAGAGTCTAGAACATTAGATTCTACTAAAAATATATGTCTGTACATCATAAAGAAAATAATTTATGCATCTGATGTGAGTCTATAATGTTGGATTTATACAGGCTACATTTTCACATAGGAAATGATCAATCTTTCTCAACTATGAGTTAACTACGAAAACTTAGTTTTTGTTTTAATTTTTCATTACGAACTCCGGTGAAGTAGTCTGTTACGATCTCCGAACATAAGGAAAAAAGACAGGGAGTTCGGAATGTAGTTCGTATTGACAAAAATCAATGAAATATAACAAAAAACAGGGTGTTCGTAATGACATTTGTCCGGGAGTTCGTAACGAACTCTGACAATCACTTTTCAAAAGGTTGAATAGCAAAATTTTGACTAGAGATCGGAATAAGAATATCCGGAACTTCGTAATGACAAAGATAGGGAAGTCATAATGAAAACTGTAGGGTGTTCGGAATTATGTTCAACTTGCTCATCTTTGAGAGAATGTGAAGTGGCACGCTAGTCTTGCAGCCTAAGATGATGATGTTACGAACTCCCTGTCAATGCATACATTACATTCCGAACACCTGAACTTGTTCATTACGATCTCCGGGAGCTACGTCAGATTGAGAAAGGAGCATTCTATTCCGAACATCCGATCAAACCATTCCGATTTTTCCGATTTTCTATTACGATCTTCCGTACAAAAATGTTTACGAACTACCGTCATAAATCTTTCAAGGATAAAAAACGAACACCCGGATACCTGTCCGGAGTTGACCGGAATGATTTAAGACGAAAACTAAGGCACCCGTTAACTGATCCCGGAGTCATTCTGCTAAACCGGAGTATGCGTAACATGATGCATAAACTGTACTTGGAAAATTTTGTCTTTTTTACAACGTTTCTGTTTTTATACGGCATATCTCTTATTTTAAGTCTAACTACTGTGATAAAATAATATACAAACATTTTGTGAATAAATTCATTCTCAACTCCATTGTACGAAATATTTGCATCGCCTAAGTGAATCACCAAAGTCTGGCTTATTACTTTGACTATTTAGAAGTATTAATGGAATTGAACAAATTCTTTAGCGATGTCATATTAATTATTCAATTATCCATCAAATATTCAAGAATGAAAAACAAAGTCTTGTTGATCTTATAAAGCAAGTAAGAATTGAAAGTAGACTAATATTTATAGTATTATACTTGATATTTATTTAATCGAGCATCGATGCCAAAGAAATAGATATCAAAATTTGAATGACTGACTTAGAAGAAAACCGTTTAAAGTTCGAAAGGATATTTTAAGAAATAATTTTCCCTCCTACTGCAAAATCCGTTTTTTAATTAAACATGGTGCGTGACAGACATGATAGATTGAACTGTTCTCGCCAAGATAAAACCATTCTCAACTTTCCACATTGCTCTTTTCTAGAGTTATGATCATTTTACTAAGAATTCTCATTCAAAAAAATAACTTTCAGGTTCATAGCTACTTTGTGTCGCTGCCAGACTTCATTGTGTCACATTACACCCTTCTGAAACAAGGTCTGTAAGAAAATGGCCCAATATGATTTTGAGCGACTATCGCCTGAAATTATCGGAAATGCTTCACGCTTTACTTCAAAATCTGTTTAAATGTTGTTAAATGTTTTAAAATCTGTTCTTAAAAATTGCAGAGAGAAATCTTTTACGACTATTCATTACTCTCCTCACTAATCCTATATTTCAAGCTTTTTGCATTTGAGGCGCAGAAAATTCTCTAAGTTCTTGTTAAGAAGTTAGAAGTCATGTGAAAAGCTTAAATATAGGATGAATGTCATTGGTGAGGAGAGCAAGCAATAAATAGTTGTAAAAGATTGCTTCCTGGAATTTTTTAGAAATTTAAACAGGTTTTGAAGTAAAGGGCGAAGCATTTTCATTTGAAAGATTAGATCATGCTATTTTTTGTTCGAGAATAACTCTAAAGTTTAATTCAACATAACTCATTTAATTATCGCATGTTTTATTTTAATCAAAAATTTGATTTTAAATTTAACTTTAGTTTGTGAATTTGCAGTTCACGATCAGAAAATGTCTTGGATTACATGTCGTGAAATTTTGAGTAAAAGTTGTATGTTAAATAAATGATTGATAACAACATATGTGAGTTGGTGTAGTTTTCATCCTATTTCCGTTCATAATAATTTAATTATTACTAAACACTATTTTTGAATACTTTAAGCAATAATAAACATATTTTGTCAATCATATAGACACAGTTTAGAATGTATGGTAATTTTGACAATATCCGCTTTCAAGAAATAGTCAATTTTATTGCTGTAGATCAGAAATAATTACGAAGTAAAACACGACCAATTCTTTTGTACAAATGAAATATATCAGTCTCATAACATTTTTCTTATCATATTACAAGTGTCCGTGTATTTCATGCTTATTTTGCCTTTTGTGAGTTGACACTTAAAAAACCCATTATTCTTTTCGTCAAGATCGGTGTTTGAAACTATTTTACTAATCGAAGCGTCTCGTAATCAAAACGAATCGCTTCGTATGATAAAAGATATAGAGATCGAAATGTGACATTGGTATAAAAGAAAGTATTAATTGAATAAATTAAATTACAGAAATATAATTTTTATTTTAAACTTTGTCGATAAGTTTTTTTTTCTTGTCTAACAATAAATATGTGTGATAAAAATAACAACAGACATTAAATGAGATTTATTCAAAAAGAAATTTACACAAATTGTTCAACACTAATTTCAAGCGCAGAACATGGTAATTTTAACTCAAATTGTTCAATAACATTTGGATGCAATACACCAATAGTGCCAATATTTGAGCCACGTGCTATTACTTGAGCGAATCGGCCAGGAAAATAGCCAGAATCTACATAAAAAATATAAAATTTTTAGAATCCTCTTCTTTCTTAGCTTATTATTTACCTTCACAATTACTGTTCAAATAATATCCACTGTTACTTGTCTCATATTTTAATTTTAATAATTGCATAACACGATCAAGTAAACCATGAATCGTTTCAAAGCTGGGAGTTTTACCATAATAAACAGCGCATAAACGTCTCTCATTTCGACTACCAGTATCTTCAACAGAAAATACAAAGATTAGGAAAAAAGAAATGAGTTGTAAATTCATATTTTTTTTCTACCTCGACTTTGATCTTTTAATATAACATCAGCTACTTCAAATAATTGAATTGGCAAAGCTGTGCCACGATTACAAGCAATTGTGCGCAATAAACCAGGAAGTAACGATGTACGACCAATCTAAACATTTTCATAATTGTTTGAAAATTTTACTCCTACTAGTTAAATTTGAGATAAATGTACATAAATTCTAATGATATTATTTTCATTCAATGCAAAGTGTTTGTTATACTTAGTACAGTCAATATTTCCTGAGAATTTTTACTAGATTTAGCTCGTAGTTACCAAAATAGTTTCTGACTAGGAAAGACTTAACTTACTTGAAAATCAAGTGTTTTAGGATTAGCAATGTGAACAGCTGGTATTGTCTCAATTTCTTTCCCAAATTTACTGGCAACATCTGGAATTGAACATAGTGCAAATGTAAGTGTTTCGGTAAAACCACATTCGGCTACTGAATGTCGAAGAAGATCGGTAATACGATTAATTTCATACTAGAGACAAACAAATGATGATATATTTATTGTATGAATATTAAAAATCAAGAACCACTTACCTGATTTCCAATACAACTAGTTTTTGGAACAGTTTTTACAATATTATTAAAACCGTATGCAACTGCACAATCTTCAGCAATATCACAAAAATGTAATATATCGGCACGTGTTGGCGGTATTGTCACTTGAAGAGTATCCGCATCTATCACAGATGCTTTCAAACACATACGTGTTAGAAGATGAGCAGCTTTATTTGAGTCAACTCTAGAAAAATTAAGAATTCTATAGTGACCACTACAAAAAAAAACATATGAATCTATCTACTCTATTCCAATACGTTGATTGATTTTAGACACAGATACTTTTTCAGTGCGAGAATGAAGTGTCTAAATAAGAAAGTGATCAAACAGACAATATAGAAACATGTAGAATGAGCTTTTTTAAATACTAACAGGATAGAGTGTCATTTGACCATCAACTTGTTCAATTGATACAGTTTCTATTCTAAACAAAAAAGATAAATAACGCATCTCGTTACATGTCCTAACAAATAGTTGCTAAATGTGGACATCGATAAATCTACTTACAAGAAAGGTGTACTACAGTATTGACTAAACATTGTTACAATTGTATCGAGCACAGTTTTTGCTTTGTGTAAATCCTTAATAAATATAAAAATAAAATATTTCTCATATATTTAATCAGTTTTAGTCTTGCTTACGATTGCTGTACATTCGATAAAAACATTCTGTGTATTTAACGTAATTTTACTATGATCGCCTAGAAGAAAGTACGAACGAATTGCAAAAGACGAAACGTATACAAAAAAAGAATACAAACTGTTGATAATTGGCGGTAATGAGAGAACAACTTTGTTTGAATCGTATATAATCGGATAAACAGGAGAGTCTCGAATAAGTGGCACATAGCGTTTTAAATGAGTGTCTTTCTAAACAAGAAATTAAATATCAAAATAGAAGGCTGTCAGTGAATAATACTAAGAAATTGGAACGGTTTTTAAGGGTTCCTCTTATGAGAAACCGATTTAGTTTTCTCGAAGTTTTTATGAAAAACATTTCGACTAACTTTTCAAAGACTTCATGTTTCTCAAGAACTAGATTGAAAAGCAAAATCCAGCTCTGTTAACTTGTAATGTCAAGTTTTAGCTACATTTTGAGACCATTTCAAGCTTTTTTAGCACTAGAAAATTTTGTCGCGCGAACAGCTAAAACTCAAAAAGATAATTCCGAGAAAAATGGAAATCAAGCTTTGACTTTAAAAATCAAGTTTTTCTGCTTGATAAAATGATATACGGAAGAACTGAGAGTAGTTGGTCAGAGGTTATCGACTATGGTGAATCGAATGGGCATGTGCATAGAAATGTGCGGCATATGTTTTTGCACGTATAGAAGGTTCTTATAATTTTTTCGTATTGGGAATGTTTCAGAAAAATCTCTGTAAAATCCTCAAAAACCATCGTAAAACCAATAACTCATAGTGCAGTTGGAAGTAGACACTTTGGGCTATCCAACCATGTATAAATATGAAAATCAATAATTTAGACAAAAAATGACTTTTTTGATAGGGAGACTGATCGTGGAACACTCCCACAATGACTATGAAAAGACACGTGTTTTAATAGCATTAATAAAAAATGCTGAACATCGTATTATATACACTGCTAACGTCTACGATAAACAAAATTACCATGTAAAATTCCATTAGTTCATCGGCTGAAAATTCTTGTGTTTGATTTAATGGTTTAAATTTAATTTGTTTTGGATGTTGAGCATCATAGAAGAATGGTGGCTGAATTGTATCTAAATCATGTGTACCAATGGCAACTAGCTTTCGTTCACGACATAAATTTTGATGTAATTTTTCTTGTAATTTAATAAAACTATTGTAAGTTTCACTATTAAATTTTATACCACGTAATACAGCGCCAACAACAAACGGACGAATAGATTGAGTCTAAAAGATTGATAGCATGTATCATTTTTCTTTAATTTAAACAAATTCTTACTAACATTTGGCAATACTTTAATACGTATGATTTTATCACTGGATGGTGTAAATAAATGATACTCGGGTATTTTACCACCTCTAAAAATACATTTTTAAAAATAGCATAACTTCTTCATTCAAAGAAATTCACATTATAAGATTAAAAGTTTTTTGCATATCAAAAAGGTGTACAATTTCACAGTGTACAAAACATTTCTTTTCTGAGACTAGGTCGCTTTGAAAACGAGCACTCGAGTTACAGTTGTTTTGTGAGAAGTAAGGTAAGAATAACTAGTAAAAGGGCATATACTTTAGATGAATGTAATTATCACCGTCTAGAAATTTCGTTTTGAAATAGGAAAACTTTAAAAAATAGATTAAATTCTTCTAAACGAAAAGTTGTTTTGCTGAGTCCTTAGTTAGATTAAAATGCAATTTTTAACTGTTTAATAGTTTCGTTGCGTGCGATCTGAATATGACATACGCACGCAACGAAACTATTAAACAGTTAAAAATTGCATTTTAATCTAACTAAGGGCTGAGCAAAGCAACTTTTTCGTGTCTTTCAACATTTCCATAGCTACAAAAAGTAGGTGAATGCTTATTTTGAAAGGAATACAAGCATAAAATCTACAAAAAGTTTCCTACCTTTTGGTATCATAATAAAACTTTTTGAGCAATGTCAGCTTGGAGAAAAAATCCTGAGAAAAGCGGACAATTTCTTCTGGTCCATCCGTTATACCACTGTTCGTTCAAATTTTGGCAGTAACTGATTGCGCTTAGAATTACGAATATATCTTTTTGCTATGGAAAAGGAAAGTGTTGAGGAATGATAAACAATCAAGTAAAGAAAAAATAAACAAGAAATAATATATATTTCTATATTATGAATAATAAACGGCTACAACAGGCACACAATTTCAAGTGTGATCACAAAGTAATCTGAAAAACACTTTAGGAGAGACAAGACTTCTAAGTTTCTAAAATCTTTATCCTTGATGTCTTTTATTGTAACAATTTCTTTAGTTATCATTACCTTTCTAAAAATATATTCAATGCACGACCCAATCCTTCCAAACACAAAAGATCATAGCTAGAAAACAAAACGGGCACTGTAAAATTGAATTTAGCACGTGAGCGATAACATACCGATTAGCTGGAATTTCAATTTTATATTCAGCGTCATTTGATCCATCATGCAATAGTTCCTAGCGAATTAAAGTAACGTTAAAAAATAAACACAAATAAACCAAAAGCCAACATACAACATCGTCTAATTCAATGCCAAAATCAAAACATAGATCATCAAATTCGGCGTCAGCTAAAAGAAGAAAAAAAAAGACAAATAAACAATAAATGGGTTAGAATTTTATCAAATTACTCACTAAATGTTTTTCCTAGTTCATGAAATAACGCACTCCGCCTGATACCAATAGTCGGCATAATGAGGAAATATCTAAAATGAAAATGAATAAATTAGAATTCTTGTGCTAGTCGTTCTGATTTCATCTACACATGAACTTAACTGGCTTAAAAAATGAAGCAGTGTGCTGATTAAAATCAACAAGTTAACAGCAAAACGAAAGTTAACAAAAAATTTAGAGAAAATACGTGTTCATAGCTTAAATATAATAGCGAGTTGTGTATTCATAGCTAAGAAATAAATAGCGATACTAGTCGATGCCATACTACTTAACTATCAGTACAAGCTCATTGAGAGTTATAATACAAAACAAAAAAATTGACATTAGTCATGGAACATTTGTTTTATTGATATTAAACTTATCGGTAAATCTGTTCGCGTATGTATATGAATTAAGACAAAAATATAAAATACAAAAAAAGGAACAGAACGAATTTTGAGCCATACTCAGTAATGATCTGATTTTTTCTATAAATATTGGGAAAACAGTGGAGAAAAAAGCACCAGCCCAAATCTGGCTTAAGACTTTTAAACATAAAATTGCACAAGTAAAGAGAAAGAGAAATATAATTTAATTTAAGAGAACGATGTAGCAACAACAACAACAACAAAGAAACATAAGGTACACTGTTTTAATCACTACACAAAAATAAAAAACAGTAGAAAAAACAATATCGTGGGCTCTCATAGATACCAGTAACAAACAGAGAATAGAAAGAAATTGAATAAAAAATTAACAATAAATAAGAACAATTTTTCTTTTTAGCATGAATAGCACAACAGTTTAACTAACTCCTATTTCCATAGAGATATAATCTCAATAACCATTTATTTTCGTTGAATTACATATAATCATATTCATTGAGCATTTATATTCATATAATCTGGTTGAAGTTGAAATTGTTGTTGTTGTTTTATTTGTAGTTCAACAAAATATTCAATGACACGATAAATAAATTCATATTGGCGTTCAGTTTGAACTAAGCCTGAAGTAAAAACGTAAAATAAAATACATTTTACTATTGAAAATAATAACTTATACCTGATCGCTGTGAACGTATGTGTATTATTAAACCAGGTATATCGATTTCAGTGTCTAAACCTTCAGTGAAAATTTTGTTTAAAATCATATCGATAGCTATTGTTGCTCCTGATCGACCAATACCTAAAAAAAAAAAATTAAATCCTTTTTTTAACACTAATATATATAAAAAGACTGGATGATCCTTTGCTTTTAATAAATATTTTCTTTTAATGATAATTGGCTTAGAAAAAAAGTTTCATACCGGCACTACAATGAACAACCAATGGTGATGAAAAATCTTGTGTATTATTTTTTCTAATTTTCTCAAAAAATTCGTGTAAAATGTGTAATTGTGCATTATCACGTTCATTTAAATTAGTCCCTGGCATTAATGGCGAACCTAGATTCAACAAATAATAACAATATTCAATAAATACAACTGAATTTTATTCTTACCATGATCTCCCCAAGCTAAGTATTGATAATGTACAATATCCCATGTTTTTATTGGTTGCATGTCATCAGACAGATAGACTAAACGAAGGATACGTACACGATAATAACAATCATCATCATTTTGATAAGGCAGAACTGGTTTTTGTTGGAGAATTGGTGGAGTACCGCGTGACGATGGCATGTTGCGAGATACAGCAGGATCTTGAGGAGGACCAAAATTTGTTTCACTTAAATTTTCAATAGAAATATTTCCATACTGAATGGTACTATACAATTCAGGCCAATAACGAGCGCATTTATTCTAAATAGAGAAGCAAATTAACATGAATAATAAACCGGTTTAATGATGATATGCATCACATAAGAATCGTTTAGACTAGTCAAGTGAGATTTTCTTGTAGAAATTGTCAGTATGAAATCAGACGTTTCAGTTAGGAATGGGACAGTTGCAGTTCAGTTCTTTTGAACGCGAACTGGTACTAGTTCTTTTCAAAAAATTAAAATTGAAATAAAACCGGTGAACCTACTTACATTGACTTTGTGTAGTGTTTCAGAGGTAGATGATGTGTTTAGTTGACTAAACCAAGTCAATAGAACTAGCTACATCAATTTTATTTATTTTGAATTCTTGAAAAGAACTGGTAACCAGTTCCCGGTCAACAGGAGCTGAACTGGTAACCAGTTCGTTCTACCAGTTCTTAAGAACTATAGAAACTGAAACTGTCCCATCCCTAGTTTCAATGTTCTTCTTTCATGAAAATTAAATGGATTTCGAATAGATTTGATATGATTTCTTGATAAAGAAACGAAAAATTAGAATCATTTTTACGACGATATATTTGGTATATCCTCCAAAACGGAACATCGCTCCGATATTATATTTTTATCAAAAAATAGATTGAAACTAAAAAGTTGATTTTCTGATATTTACTGAAATACAAATGTTAAAGATCGTTTTTCCTTACTTTTAATCCTTCTACTTCTCTAGTAATCATGACAATACATTTAACATTCTCTTGATAGATCATATGCCAAAAATCCGTAATAGTATTTACTAACGGACCTTGTGTGGCTATATATTCTCGACTTGATGAGTCAATGGATTTAATTCGATTGGCATTCACATAATCAGTCTGTAAATAATTTTTTAGTATCACTCGTGTTTCATCATATGGTAGTATATTTTTGAAACGATTACTTGAACGATTTTCCAGTTTTTCACCTATTCCTTTATGATTTGTTGTCAAACGAAGTTCGCATTGTTGATTTAACAGTTCAAATTCAATTGAAAAGCTATAATAAATATTCATCAGTTAAATTTTATTATTTTATTATAAAAGACATTAAATTACTCACCCATTTCGTTGTCCATACGGTGGATGAATTACTTTTGTTAATTGTTCACAACGTTTTGCAATATCTTTTGCGTAAAACCAATTTGAACAACACGGTTCAACTAAACAAAATGCATTTCCATTTGTTGCAACGAGAATATTATGTTTCAAATAAAAGTGAATAAGTTCATCTAGCGATTTAAAATGATCAATTTGTTCTCGTCGACCTTTTCCATCGAGAAACCATTCGGAATTTAAACATTTTATTTTTACATTTGCAATATCTGTTGCAGTCTTAACGCAAATAACGTAGTCTCCTGGTACTGTTTCACTATCGCGAACAAGAAATAAACCAATTTTATCACAAGCCAGCAATAAAGATGAGGCTTGTGCATGCGGAATTAGACCATGATAGTATCTAGAAAAAACACCAGTGAGTACGCGTAAAATTGCAGTTACAAATCAACTGGAAACCTTTCAAGTGTTGGCATTTGTGCTAATATTGGTGTTGTTAATTGAATTGTTTCATTATTTTTCTCTTTCAATTCTCCAACATTTTGTCTATAATGTTTAATCATATCGTACAACGTTGCAAAACGTTCTTGTCCCTCACCCAAATCAAAACCATCATTTGTACGTTGAATACGAATATGAGTGATATCACCAGTAGTTCGACTAAAAAGACAAAACAAAGTTACTTAGTCATAATAGTAAGTAAAAAATAAAATAATTACCGGACGGATAATACATAAGCATCTGGACGAGTGTTCGAAGGGCGAACCAAAAAACTTCCAGTTGTGCCTTTTTCTTGTAGAAGTTTTTCAGCTTCCGCACCTGATAACTCTCGATGGAAAAATCTGAGGCAAATAAATCAGAATATTAGAAATTTTATTTAGGGATGATGCAAGAGAAAGTAATAATTTACCCACGCGTTAGTCGTCCTGCCATTTAGGTTGCTTTTTTCTTTTATACATGTAACAAAATAATCAATATATCTAGCACATCTAAAATACTACATGTCTAGTTGACTAATGCTATATACTCTTAATTTTCCTGTTCACTTTCTAGACAAATGGTAAATTGTCAAAAACAAAACAGATGACAGAAAGGTGCAAGATATATTTTAATGCCTAAATTATCCTCAGACGGTAATTAACGTAAATTTACCACAATGACCAATCAGAGAATTGGGTGAATGAAGCCAATGAACATCGATCAACCAAATACCAAAACTTTCCTTGACAACCAAAAAGCAGCAAACAATCACTCTGCTGAACTTCAAGCTAGAAACCTACCAAATCATTACCGAAATAATTGTTTTATATTAAGTTTTTAATGATGAACAGGATGAAACCACTTTTATTCGCATGCTATGCAAGAAAAACGTGCACTATCAATAATATAAAGTTTGCACCCTTGACAGGACAGTCTTCTGAAAATATTTTCTATACTTTACAGTACCTGTATGAATGAATGAATGAATGAATGATTTATCTATTTACGAAAAGCGAGAGTCATCAAAGGTTCCCGACCTATAATAACAATAACTCGAGCCAAACAACAACAAAAAGAAACTATAAATAGAAAAATAATAATAAAAGTAAACTCGTATACGAAACAGAGAGATAGAAAAGAAAGAATAAAAACAAGAAAACAAAATAAGAGTAACAGCCAGGCCCGTAGCCAGGGGGGTGTCCATTGTTCAGGTCACCATCTAGGTGAGGTCACGATCGATTGCGAATTCTCTGTTATTTTGTGACCATTATCCGTTTCAAAATACAGCATACTGGGTTGTTTTTTTGAATAACTTTTGTTAGAAAGGAGACAAAAATCTGTGTTTTTCAGCATTATATAGCCACGACTTTAAGACAGACTTTTGCAAGCAAAAACTTTTAGTTTTGAAAAATTTTCAAAGATTTCTTTTCCAGAAATTAAAGTAGCAATCTATTGATAATTATACATTTAGACAGATAGTTTGAAGTGTCTTCTACAAAATGACGTCTAAGCGACCTTTTAGTTTTGTTTGGCTTTACAGCAGACACGGTTTTTCCCGAACTACCACGCTTGGCTTTCTTCTGATGTGGCAATCTCAAAAACACAGAATACATAGACAATCGATGCTCCTGACTAACGTGGCAATGTTTATTTTCCCTATAAAAAGTAACATAAGTTCGATTGCTGAGTTGGGAAACCGCAAGTTTTTGTTTCTTTTCTAGCAAAAGTTATTAAAAAAGCAACCGAGTACGTTGTATATTGTATTTTACGCTGACTCAGAATATTACATAACTTATAATTCTTCAGAACTAGTTTTTCATATCGAAAAATCGAAAAAAATCGAAGTATCTCGAAAGTCCAAAAATCTTTTCTGTGTAAAACTTTTAGTTATTATTTTGTTCCACGATAGGGAGTTTTCAAACCATTCTTTTCTTGTCCAGCGTTGAAAACTGAATTCAAAAATGGTATTAGCTTCATTTTGAAGGTAAACGCCTGTGTACCATCGACCTTCGAATGAAACAATGTCAAATAAGAATGAGTCATTTTGCAAACCTATCTGGTTTTTTCGGTCAAAACTAGGCATCCATAAATCTCTACTATCGTCGTAAAATTTCTAAAGTTTCCGTTGATAGTAGAGATTTATGGATGAATGTTATGGATGCCTAGTTTTGACCGTTTTTTCCTGTGAAACGATGGAACCAATTTTCCTACATTATTCGATGCGCCTTAACTCCAGCTTTAAAAGTGCGCATCGCTTTTCAGATGTCGAAATTTTTTTCCTTGCTGAGAAAATTCGTTTTTTCTAAATCAGAACCGAAAAAGTCTGAATTCTGCCCATAATCCTCAATGTTCGCAATCAGAACTCAACTTCTATGCAATAAAAATATCGTATTCGGCATCAGCATCAAAAATCGAAAACCGTTTTTCCCAAGACTTTTTAATATACTACAAGCCAGAGAGTTCGGGTTTGTTTTATCTTAAACCAGACATCTTTCTTCTGTTTTATATAAATGAACATCTTTCTTTTTTCTTTTTCTCGCTTAATTGGCAGAAAGAGAAAAAGCTGATATGTACAGAATAGAACAAATTTTCATTTTCTATTATCAGCTGTACAATCTAACTTATATAAAGCTGAATTACATGTTTCTGTCTAAAGAACGAATTTTATCTTTTACTCCAAATGTTGATCTACTCTTCTACCTAAGGAAAACATCATTCATTACACTGTGAAAAAAGAGGTACATTTTCGAAAAAAAATGCACTTCACACTCGTCAAAGGTGACTCTATTTTTGATGAGTAAGATGAAATTTCCATGTAAAAGACGCGCTATGATGCCTTACGAAGGCGGCTGGATTCCAATTTGATGCACCCGCACTATCTGCGTGAGACTTCGTGGAGCCAAGGCATTTTCGTGTAAACCAAATGCATTTTTGATGCATATAGTAAGACATCCTGATGTCCTTAAGACATTGAAGATGCAATAAATACGTCGAGATGCCTTATAAACGTAGGCTACTACGAAAAACATTTTATTTTAACGTGTGACAAAATTAAATAAGCGAGCAACAGATTAAAAATAAGACTTACACAATACAAATAACCTATCATGAGAACTAATCTGAGATATTCTTAGATCCTTGAGAAAATATGGTTTTCAGGTAACCTTTTAGAGTTATGTTAGATAATAAACTTTTCACATCAAACCTATTCTTATATAAGTTGCCCAAGGCAGGAGACCGAGAAAGTGGCATACGAGCGTTACTTTGTAGGTTTGTAGTAAACAAACCTTTTTACTCGATTGGTTCAAAGTCGCCATTATCGCCTGTTCAAGAGTACGACAGTCAAGTCACTGTAGTTGTCGAAGAAACAATGCAGCTAGAGCACTTTTCTCTATCGATTTGATTTTACTGGAGATATCTTGAGTAGCCCTCAGTGTCTAAGAAGAGTCTCGTAGCATTTTCAATACCTTAATATATGACTACATGATTTACCCATGGCTGATGTGCGACTACGTGTCTTCACCATAACTAGTGCATTGTGCGTTTTTAATATATTAGTGATGTCAAATGCACCGGAGCTATTTGTTTCCAGAAAACCAGCGACTTAGAGGTGTTTTTTCGAAGATATTAAGGCAATTAACAGTAAAAAGATGAGAAAATGCACCTAACGTGCCTTCAAAACGCACTGGAGATGGATTTTTAAGCCAGCCGAGTGGTTTATCAAAACACTTCTTTTTGACAATATACGAGTTTAATACAAATTACTCAACTTAACGAGTTAAATTGAAATGAATTAGACAGTGTTCATTTCTACTTTCTGTCTCATCTGAAAAGGAAAATGTTTGACATCGCGGCGAGCTATTTTTCAAAAATAGGTACTTCTGGCTTTTGAGATACAGATCCACTAATGTCACTGCTTGGCTTCATCAAAAGTGCAATTTTTATTTTTTATTGAGATGTTTTAAATGGACTTTTTTCCACTACCGTGGCTTTACAGCTTTCTCTTCGGGCCATGGTAGTTGGAGACATAGTCTTACTATATACCAAGTCTTGTTTTCGCTCTAATTGTGATTAACGCTGTTATGTGAACATAGTAGATGACATGACGAAAAAGCAAATAGGAGTAGAAAAAAGTATTTAATACTCGTTGAAAATATTTTTTCGCATATATTTCTACACGCGTAGATAGATATAGGTGATTATTGTTCTCTTTTCTGTATATATTCTGTAAATACTCTTCTATTTTTCAGAAAGAAGATCTGATATATACACACAATAGAAGAGTTTTCTTAGAAGGCTTCTACATTCCACGGGTCAAAGAATTTCTTAATTTCTGTCCACGGGTAGATATAGATGAATATCATTCTTTTTCCTTTTTCTCGCTTAATATTACTGCTTGGCTTCATCAAAAATCGAATTTTTATTTTTTATTGAGATTAGTTTTAAATGGACTTTCTTCCACTGCTATGACTTTCCGGCTTTCTCTTCGGGCTGTGGTAGATGGACAGGACGTATGACCAAATAGCCTTTTCGCTCAATTTATCAAATAACATATACTGGCAATAACATATACTTTTAATTAATCAAGCATACATCTTGTAAAGCATCTCCAAATTAAACCTTTTTCACTTTCTATTCTCGTTAGTTCACATATTTGTTTACTCAAACTAATACAAGAAGTTCTGATTCCAATAATATCCATCGCAAATTACAAATTTGTTTAATTGTTCATTGAAAGTTTATACTTGCCAACTGTTAAAGATCTTTTCAGATGTTCCTGTTAGAGATGTACACGGGTACGATTTTCATACCCGTACCCAACCCGAAAATTTCATTTTTACCCGTACCCTACCCGTACCCGCACCGTAGTACCCGTACCCGCAACATTGTACCCGTACCCGCAACATTGTACCCGTACCCGAAAACGCAAACGTGCTAAAACAATACATATATATATAACTTTATATACTTACTATTCTTATAATCACT